GAACTAAGGCCCCTAGGATGTTAAATGACTTATCCAAAAACAACATGGCTAATTAATACCATCTGCTTTTGTGTATATTCCATAAGGATTCTTATAGTCATGGTAATTAAAGCTAAGAATTGTACCTCCTCTTCCTCTTTCTCTTCCTTATATTGGAAATGGACTATATTTAGAAGTTATATCTCAAGTCACTTAGGTCATGGTGAAATTTAATTGTGGTTTTTTACTTCCAATTATTTATTTTTTAAGAATTTATTTATTTTTAGAGAGACAGGGGAAGGGAGGGAGGCAGAGAGAGAGAGGAAGAGAAACATCAATGTGTAGTTGCCTCGCATATGCCCCCTACTTGGGGACCTGGCCAGCAACCCAGGCATGCGCCCTGACTGGGAATCGAACCAGTGACCTTTGGTTTTCAGGCTGGCACTCAATCTACTGAGCCACACCAGCCAGAACTGCCCTCGAATTACTTACTTGCAGTGTGATGCCTTAAAGCTCCCTTTTGAGAGGAAGTGTGGATGAGTTCAATTTTAAGAAAATATAAAGTTTTGAGCTTGTCAGCAACTCAAAAATGGCATTTGCAGAAAGAAACTAGTATAGATGACTCTTACTTTCCCTTTTAAGTTTTAACAAATGACTTCTCCAGGCTTAACACCTGCAGATCGATCCGTAGATTTAGAAAACACAATAGTTCATTTTATTCAACACTTTATAGCATTTAAAAAATATTAATTTATTAGCATTATAGAGCACTAAATTGATCCTATGTGCCAGATCTACTCACCTTAGTCTATGAGCCCCAACTATAGAATGTTACTTTAGCTGCTGCAAGCTTCTCAGTGATCAGTTTTATCCTTAGTTTTCCCTTAAAATTGGTTTTCAACTATTACATTCCTAGGAAAAATATGTTGCCTAGAGGATCACCATGCAACAGTTAGCCTTGATTGTCTCAGGGCTTAGATACAAGCAAGATACCATATTGGCAACATTTCCATTTATGTTATAGTTACCTTCCACTAGGAAGGAAAGAGCTGGGCCTCCTGCTAGCTGGGAGGAACTTTGCTCCATCTGTGAAAATTGTCTGATTCTTTAGTTTCCTCATTGTCTTACTATCTGCTAGTATATAGTTCACTAAAAAGTTATATAGGTATAATTGAAGTGCAATAAGCTACGTATATTTAAAATGTACGGTATGACAAAGTTTGGTGCACAATCAAGGTAGTCATTTAGGTCGTTCCAAAAGTTTCTTAGTACCCCTTCTCCATTTCTTTCTTGTTCTTTTCTTCAGGCAACCACTGATCCACTTCCTGTCACTGTCAATTGGTTTGCATATTCTAGAAATTTATTTAAATGGAAGCATACAGTATACAGACATTTTGTCTGTCTTTCACTCAGCATGATTATTTTGAGGGCTATGCATCTTATTATATATCAATAGATCATTCAGGACTGAATAGTATTTCATTGTGTCAGTATACCACAGGTGTATCCTTTCAGCAATTCAAAGACACTTGGATTGTTTCTACTTTTTTGCTATTATGAATAAAGCTCATGAGCAACCTTATACAGGTTTCTGTGTAATAAAAGTTTTCTTTTCATAGGGATAAATATCCAGGTGTGCATTGCTCCCCCATTAAGTACAGCTTCATCTTTCAAGAATCTGCTAAACTGTTTTCCAAAGTAGTTGTACCTTTCTACTTTTTTACCAGCAGAATATGTAGCTGCTCTATTTTCCTGTCAGCACTTGATGGGGTCAAAATTATTTTAGCCATTCTGGTTTTTCTGTAGTGGTATCTCATTGTAGTTTTAGTTTGCATTTTTCTGACAACTAGTGATAATTAAACATGTTTTCATTTGCTTATTGGTCATTCCTCTACCTTTTTTGTAAAATGTCTGTTCAAATCTTCTGTCCATTTTTAAAATTGGATTTCAACTCTATTATTTGCTCAGATTTTGTCTCTTACAAGGCTGGAAAATGGGTAGGTTTTCCTTGAAATAAAGATTATATACATGTCTGTGAGAAATACATGTCTGTGAGGTCCCAAATATATCATTCACTTGGCAACATCTGTATCTGTTTATTTCTGAAATATAGTTTCTCATAGTACTAGTCTATTCATTTAAATTATAGATATCCTGAGATTGTACTTACATTTCTCTTGTGGCTAGCTTTTTGGTAAGAATAGATCTATAATAACTTCAAATAAACTTTTATATTATCTAGGGAATATGTAGTATTTTAGGTAACAAGGTTATATGTATAAGGCTAAAAACAACCACTTAAGATGCATTGTAAGTGCTTTCTAGAAAAATGCATCTTATGGGAGTTTTGAATACCACCAAGACTATTGTGTATTTAAGAAAATAATTTACAATGGCAACATTGATTTCAGGATAGGGAAGTGAAGCAGTTCAATGAACATCACTTACTATAAAAAACTGAATCTTTCTCTTTTTCTTTCATTCTTTGTTTTCTAAGTATATATTGACAAGGAAGTGTACTTTTATCTGACTATTTAGAGAATTTGTGGTTTAGTCTTTTATTCAAATCAAAGTATAGTTTCAATAAATATCTTATGCAATTTTTGATTATGTTACACTACATTTTCTTAGAAAGGAACAAGCCCATGTATTTAGTATCTTATGATATGGAATAATAAATTGGCTGCATATTTAGTTTTATTTGCTCATTTTTTCCAATGAATGTCTTTACTGTGACTCACATGTTCATATTAAAATCTTTGCCAAGTCACATCTCAAATGACATTGTAGGAGTGAAAATAAATGCAAGTGTGTGCTTTTGAAAGTGAATTTCCTAATCAGAGCCCCAAATCCATGGAAAATAAATGGGGGTCCTTCACAGCAATTCAGCTTCAATGTTTTCTTTCTTGTTTCTCTATGTAGAATTACAGCTGGTTACCGCAAAAGCTTTGGTAATGCCATAAGGTTGTTCTTTCAATTTCTTTCTCCTTTTCCTGGCTCCCACTGCCCTCAGAGAAGTCTCTCGGGAAGTAGTTTGCAAAGTGTGGTCCTTGGACCACTAGCATAGACCTTACCCAGGAACTTAGAAATGTGGAATCTTTGGCCCTCCTCCAGACCTATTGAATCCCAAACTGAAATGGGAATGCACAATCTGTGTTTCACAAGTTTTCTAGGTGATTCTGAAGCATGCTGAAGTTTGGGCACCACAGATCTATGGGAGTGAAGAAAGTTGTGAATGCAAGCCCATGCAAAACTGCTTTCTTATGGCCTCCAGCTTACAGGTTCATTATGGCATTGCTGTACCAACAACTGCGCAGTAGGCTTGGATAATGCAACATTGTGAAATTCAGAGGCATGAATATTAACCAATATTCTAGATTCACTAAGATTTATATTGTGCAAAATGGATTTTTTACTTTTAGCCTTATGTCAAGGAGAAACACCTTTCATAAGCTTTTGTGCTTGACAAGTGCTCTGGAATTCAGATAAGTTTTTGTAGAAAAGTAAAATTACTTTTAAAGACGTTCATCACAGACATCATAAGGAGCATTCCCAGCAGTGACTTATAACCGTGAAAGAATTTATTATAATTGACTTTTCTGAATACATTATAGTAGCTTTATTTGCCTACAATCTCTGTTTCACAGAGCACAGGGCTGGGCACAAAATGGTGACTAAATAAGTATTAAAACTTGATTTGTTAAACCCTTGTTTGGCAATTACATCACAAAAATAGCTATTTAAAATATGTTCATATTCTGCATTCTCCTTTCTAGAATGTAGCCTGTCTAAATTTTAGCACATTCTGTATTCAAAGAATTAAATTTATTTTAGAGTTTGCATTTTATTGATATGTGCCAAGGATTAGATGCACTCAGTTAAGCTTCTTCTTGGCTAAATGACATACCCTGTCTCTGATGTCAGTCTGAGAAAATCCCTTATAGTGTACAACATCCCCGGATTACCTTATCTAAGTATTACATGGACATTTCAGATGATATGTCTTGGCATGTGGTCATTTCTCGTTAACTTATTAGGGACTATTGAAGCATCTTGTCCCCTTTTTGACACCTTTCCATAATTGAACACAAAATTGACTATAAGACTGAATGCCTGATATTAATACAGCAAATTGATGGGACTTCATTGGTATCTAACAGAAGCCATGCCCCGATGGGTGTTTAGTTAAAAAGGACTCTGTTGTTATCTCACTTGGACTATGGGCAAGTGATAGCTACCCTCTGGACTTTATTTTCCTCCACCTTAAAAAGAAGTGATTAGTGGCAGCATTTCTAAGATCCTAAACATTTTATGATTCTAAGACCTGAGGTGGAAACAGGTAAAATTGAAACCATGAAGCATTACTGAGGTACAGTCTACAATTGAATATTTTTTATGTTTTTGTTGACAGAATGAGTAAAACAGAATAATTAGCATAAAGTAGGCCTTAAAGTCCTTTGGAGAAAATGGGAAATAATGATATTAGGTACTTATAATTTTAGAGATTAGATTAATGTATTTTAGGAAAAATACTTTAGAAGAGTATGTTTAAACATATTTTCCTTCAGTTTTCACATTGACTTATTTATTCGTAACTCTAAGGTGTATGAAATGCTTAGATAAGCCAATAAGTTTAATAGTTTAAGCCTAGGTGTGCTCTACAGATCATATATATTCTTCCTGGAAAAGGAATATCTTTTAAAGGACAGCTTTCTACATTTTATACTCCTCTGCATTCACTTATTTCATTACATTTTGTGCAACCTAAAATTGTAGCTATATAGCTATTTTGGGCATGCTTTTCCCAAAACCTTGTAAAAATCAACAGGAGCATAATTTTAAGCCACAGAAGTGCAAAATAAGCTCAGGATAACTACCATAAATAAAATGGCCAGAATTCTAATTTTGCAAAAAGCACATTACTAGCAATGGGGGAGGGGGCCGTGAGGACAAAAAGTGGAATTTTATCAGATATTTCTTCATAATGCTAAATGTTTTCTGTGGACTTTGTTTATTCACAGAGATGGAATTCTGTGAAACTCCTCACAATCTCTGCTCTGGCTACCAGACTGACATGCACAGTGTTTCTCGCCACGGCTACCAGTTAGAGATGGGATCTGATGTGGACACAGAGACAGAAGGCGCTGCCTCACCTGACCATGCGCTGAGAATGTGGATAAGGGGGATGAAGTCAGAGCATAGTTCCTGTTTGTCCAGCCGGGCCAACTCTGCATTGTCCTTGACTGACACTGACCACGAAAGGAAGTCTGATGGGGACAATGGTAATGGAACTTCCTATACTGTTTCAATAAAACCCAGAGAGAATGCCACTTTTAGCCTTTAATTTCTTTTCCTTCCCTGTGTCTACCCATTTTTTATTTAATATGAAGAATGGAAATGCTAGTTAGCAGGGTCACATGGACAAGGCACTTATCTAAGTACCTGGTAAATAGACATGTTTATTTACAATATTAGATAAATTATGTTTTGTTTCTAATGATCCCCCAAGGGAAATAATCTCATGCAGTCAGCAATATTGTGCATGCGTTATTTATTACTCACCTTTCATTTTCATCTTTGTTTTTCAGTGTAATATTAATGGCATTTATTAGCATTTATTAGAAAGTACTCATTTTATGTATGTTGGCTTTATATCAATATATGGACAATGAGATAAACAATTGTGTAGCAGGCGTATTGTGGACATGCTTTCTATTTTGATTCAGATTAACCTGTCAACTGTACGGACAGATTCAAATTAATTAAGTTAGACTGCAATTATTTTTTAAAAAGAAGGTAAATTACCATCAGCTATTTGCCAGACAATGAGTAATAACAGCATCATTAAATTGTAATTATATGAGTATATTATTTTCTTACAACTTTTAGAAATGGAAAAGTTTTCTCTTTTTGATTTGTTGGAAAGAGGTTGGTTTATTTTATTTCTGCCCTTCTGACCCTACCAAAGAACAAAACCCTTCCTTAAAAAGCACATTAATGCTTATTAAACACATTCATCTGTTGTCTTTGTCATTCTGTTTGTCTAAATTTGATAGGTCCACATCACCATGACCACAGGGCTTGCTGTGATAGCAGTGGCTAATTAGCATTTTCTCAGGTGGGAGACAGATAGCCAGTAGCCCTGCATGTACAGAGTTTTCTGTTCTCTCCCCCTTGCATCCTTCAGCCCATAGGGGACACTGGGCACAGGATATGACCATTTGCCCACAAGTTGGAATATCATTTCCTATATGATAGGCTATAACACTTGCCGAGTATCCTGGCCACCTTGATTTTCTTAGTTTACTTTCATGGAGACATGTATGTATTGGGTCGAGAGTATTGGAAGTGAAGTATGGAAATGAGAAGGGAGCATATTTGAGATTATATATATATGTATGTATATATATATATATATATATATATATATATATATATATGCATATCTGTGTAAGTGAAATAGCATTAGGATACAAGTTAGGAGACGTTGGACTGGCCCCTATACTTTTGGGGCTTCAAAGGTCAAACAGGAAAAATAGTAACCAAATTTATGGGAAATGAGGTGGTAGATGATCTCCTGTATTGCCAAGGGTTCTCATTCTGCCTCATCTCACTCCTGCCATTGGAAGTTGTAGCCAGTTCACTGGATTGAAACATTAAAGTAAAAGGAAGAAGTTTCCCCATGGGGTTCCACCATCCTTCTATTCCTGCAAGATCCTAAGAGAGGGGTTTCTTTTGGGGTGATGAAATTATTCTGGAAATAGATAGTGGTGATGGCTGTATAACTCTGTGGAAATACTAAAAACCACTGAACTGTGCACTTGAAGGGAGTTAACTTTATGGTATGTGAATCACATTTCATTGAATCTGTTAAGTAAAACAACAGTTACTGTATATACGGGTCAAAGATTAAGGAATCCCAGATGACTTGGACAAGTATTAATTAATAAAATGTTTGATATTACAGGTTTTAAATTCTCCCCTGTTTGTTGTGACATGGAAGCTCAAGCTGGGTCTACTAAAGGCAAGTGTTTCCAGATATTTGACCACTAATTATTTTCATCTCGGTGCATCCCTGATACCTACCACATAGTGTGGATCCCTGTCCCTCTAACAAACACCGCACAGGCCTGGCTAATCTATCTGTCAAAGATTAGTCCCTTGACAGTTTACTGATTTGCTTTCCTCTGAAAAACTTCATCTGTGTGTATTGGTGATGAAGAGGAAGGAGGTGAGGTGGGTGGGTGATGGGGAGAATGACAAGCAAGATTTAAGGTGGGAGAAGGAAACACAAATTTAGCATGAAGGCAGAAATTTATATCACATTAGGTTGGGTTTGGCCTCAAGACTTCCTCTGTTATCTATAATGTGTTGCTGGTCCCTAACCATAAAGTTACTATAATTCAGATATTATCATAACTTTATGGTGCCTTGGCTTTTCCTTCAGCTGCTCCAGCTTGATTTTACACTATCACACTATCTATATCCATGTCATTAATTATAAATAGTGCCTTCAAATGAAAGAAATGTTGTTCATTCTTTGCTGTAAACCTGCGTTTATATTGTGGCATTTGTCAGTGAGGGAACATTGGTATCCTTTTACCTTTGCCTTTATTGTGCTTATAGATTGAGCTTTGACCCTTTGTGGAGGGATACTGAAAGCAATATTGATGAGTGATTTTGATGAAAACCAATACTTTGGGGAGATCCACACATCTGACAACAGGACAATGTCTCAGAATTGGTAGGGGGCTGGGGGAAATGGATCAGGGGAAGATCTATCACAATCAGCTTTATCTGAAGGTATATTATCCTTCCCCACACCCGAGTGAGAACTGTTCATCCTGGTGAGCCACTACACTGTGTTAATGTGCCATCTCTTTTAGGTGTGTTAATGACTTTCAGGAATATCTAAGGCTGTTCAGTTTCATTTGGCCTTCAGTCTAATCAGTCATGTACCTTGATCATGTAACTATTTACTCAGACAGAGTTGGAAGACTCAGGAATAAAGCACATGCATCTTTTCCCTTATAGGTTTATTCCCCTTATGGTATATTTTCAGAACTGGATAGGGTACCATAAAATTAGGCTGGACTACCTGGGTAAGCCTATGATTCAGTCTGCTAGATACTAGTTCATAACTGCAAGCCTCTGTTGGCCCAATGTGCACCTCCAAGGATGATTTCAACTTATGAGACAGTAGTGAGTAAAAGTGCACTGTGGAGTCAGGCAGCCTAGGTTTAAATCCCAGCTGTGTGACCTTGGGAAAGTTACATAAGGTTTCTGTGCCTGAATTTCCTCATCTGACACATAATGATAATATTAGTATCTGCCTCTAGGATTTTGTGATGGCTGAATGAATTAGTGTAGATACTCTAAAGGTTTAGAATACTACTTGCAACATCTAAGTGCAAAATGAATGTTCACTAATGTTGTTGATCAGCACCTCACAATTTCCAAATGCACTTTTAATGTCTTTATCTCATTTTATCCTCATGGCCACTCTGTGCAATCAATTATATTGTTAAATCTGCATTTTACACAGAAATAAGAGTTAAAACAGCAATTCATATACCAGTTAGCTAAATGCAGTTGTTTGTTTTCCAGATAACCATATTTTTCCTCTCTTGGATCACATAGGAATGTAAGATATAAATATGAACAACTTTTCTATGCTCAGTTACAGTTCTGTAAGTTATACTCTGACTCTTAACTAGTGATTTTCAATAAGGAGTATATAATTGGGAATCTTATTTATGACCTATAGTAAGATTTCATAAATTTTCAATCATTGATAAGCAGAGCTGACCTGCCTTCAACATTTTCATAGATTCTTGAAGAGGTTTGAGTTGAGATGAGAGTGTAAATGATTTTTCTGAAAATATGTTAATTTGAGGAATATGTTATTTTCAATGAACTGAACTTGATGTTTGTGTGCAAATGTAGCTATTTATTTCCCATTGATCTCACCCATTCATGAGAACATGCCTAGGAAGGCATCTATTCCATTAATTTGAGTTTATATATACTCTATTTTAAAACAGTGAAATGGCTTAAAATTTTATTTTATTTTTTTAATTTTATTTAAAAATTTATATATTCACTGCTGAGACTCCATGCCGTCCTCCATCCCTGTGCCTCAGTTAGTATCAGTGACACTTTATTTTGTTTCTGTCTTCTTATGAATTCTGAGTTTTAGATTATTGATGAGGCAATGCACACAATACCATGGGTCAGTTTAGGACGATTTAAGTCTCACACCTGTGGAAGGAAAGTGAAGATAGGGAAAATTGTTACTTTGAGTGAATAGTTCAACTGAGAAACATTTGGAGATGGAATTTCAGACACTTTTAGTTCTCACATTCTAGGTGATGATTATGTTATGGATTTTCTACTTACATTTCCAAAATTGTGTCTGTGAGGGACTTCTTTTTTTTATTTCATTAATTGGTCAAGCCTTTCAAAATACTTGTTTTTTCTCAGTTTCATAAACAGTATTTTCTTACCCATAATTGAATTTCAGTCTCTGACATGCTGTAATCCATGAAGAATTAAAATAAATAACCCTTAATTTTGGCACCAAATGCACAGAGAAGGGAGAGCATCAGGTAACAGAAGGCATCTGGATTTTTTGGCTTTCACAAGGGAATCAGAACACTTTTCATTTCTATTCCTTCAAATTTGTTCCAAGTTAACCCTTTGTTGTCTACTGAGGCTTGATGCTCTATTTCCATCTGATGGACAAATGCAGATCTTACTGAGGTTACTTTCATCCTGAGCCCTGTGAACAGGAAACTTTGATATCAGTCATAATGCTTTTTTTTTTTTTTCATTTTAACCCTTCTCCCCTCTCATTTCACCTATGGCCAACATTACTATTAATTACAGGCTAATACTTGAGTTATGTGTTTTGTGTTCTCACAAGAGTTCTTAATAAATACTGACTAGCCAGCTACTTGAAGGTAGGGCCTGATCTATTCACTGTTGTAGCTTCAGTACTTAGTCACTGCATCTGGAGTGCAGTAAGCACTACATAAATGAGAAATGTGCATTATTCTGAGGGGAAAATTAAAACTAAGGGATAATATATTTTTGTAGATCTTCTCTGATCTTTCAAGGATAGAAATTCTGCAATGGATCAAACTTCTGCTCATCTAAGCCACAGCTCTGTCTCTGATAGGTGATCCAATGGGTATTTCTTAGAAGGATTTCACAGTCCTGAGTATCAACATCAGTGATTAGGGTACTCTTTAATAATCACATTTGACTATGCATTATACTGGAGGAACAAACTATATCAGTAGCTAACTTTCAATAATCAGTTTCCAAAAATGCATTTTCCACATTGCTTAAGTGAAGCAGTTGGATTTTAAAAAGTGACAATAAAATTGCTTCTTAAGAAGCTAAATGGAGAAAACTATATAGAGAAAAAATTATTTGTAATCTTTAACTGATAAAGGATAATTTGTGAAGATATTTTTATGGCTATATGTTGTGAATAATGATGTGCAAACAGTATTGAGCACCTACCCTTAACCAGGCTCTGTGTTGGAGACCAGTACATGGTAACCAACCTCAAGGACTTTATGGTCTAATGGGAGAGATTGATGTCCTGTTAGTTAAGATTGTTTATTATTATTTGTTATTATTTGGTATTGAAGGTAACAGAAGCCAACTTGAGCTAGCTTAAATTTAAAAAATTATTAAAGGTATGTGAGAATGCTTCATAGGGCCACAAGAATGTGACTAGACCACAAGAAGGGACTAGATTAGAAGAATTGCCCAGACTTTGCCTCTTGCTTTTGAATCCATGTCCTTCAGTCCTGCATTTGCAGATTGACTCAAAATCTCCATCCCCAAGGCAGCGATAAAACTCCAGAGAGTTCCCCAGTTTATGTTTCTCCTACTTAGGAAAAAAGTTGAGATTAACTGGATATTTTTTAATGCCATTTTGAAATTCCAAGGAGACAATAATTTTCCCATCGCCAGTCAGATGTCTACCACTGGCCCATCAGCTGTAACCAAGGAATAAGATCAGTAATAGAAATGTTGCTTTCTGGGAAGCCTCGCATTGGAGTTTCAGAGCAGTTCTCACAGCAGGGTAGAGTCAAATGGGCATGTGCATCCAAAGAGCTAATTTTAATACAATTTAGCTAGTACTGTGATAAAGATAGGTGCAGCTTACTATGAGAGCACAAGGAATGTGAAACCATTTATAAAAGTAAAAATGGTCATAATGATGCAATCTAAAAAGCAATGGTCTCTGTACAGTGAGTGGTTAAAAAGGTGGACTATGGTATAGGATAGACAAGTTTGTGCTCTGGTTCTGCCACTTACATGCTGTGTGTCCTTAGACAGGTACCTGAAGTTCTCTAAGCCTCAGTTTCCTTATCTGTCAAATGGAGACATTACTATTTTGTGGTTTTTTTTAATGTGTGAGAATTGAATGAGAAAATGGATATATACTATTTCCACAGTATGTCTACTATATATTAAATCAATAAATGTTAGTTGTGGTTGTTATCTATCGCTGAGCAAGAATTTATTATATGTACATTATGGGATAGGATATACAGGATGAAATCTCTTTTCTCAAGGATTAGCCAGACATGCAATGCGGCTTCTGAAACATCTGGTGTCCCAGGTAATTCTCTAGCTTAGCAGAGTACATCCAACTGTCCTCTCATTTCAAACTGTGTAAAATCCCTTGCATTAGTCTTACTTTAAGTAATACCTCATTTCAGTAGCCATCTACCTTGTTCTGCTAAGTATTGATAACTATGAGGGGAAATTCAGTGGAGTACTTCAGACCTGGCTGAGGGTAACTTACACTAGTATATTTCCTATTGCCATTGGAGTAACCCCTAAGGTAGAGCTGGAATTTGAACTACTAAGAAGCCCTGTTAGTTTCTATGATTGTTGGGCAGCTGAGCTCCCTATGTGCTGCTCAGGAACTTTACAGGTAAAGTATTGTCTGCTACAATCCCATAATAACTGAAACATTCACTAGTACTGCACTCCACTGGCTCTGTACTTAATACCACAGAAACCTGGTAATATACCATGTGCTACAAATAAACAGCATACCATCATAGGCATGCATATGCTGTACTCAGACCCTAAATTGCTTCATTGAAACAGCAGGAGTTCTGAAAAAAATACCTAGCTAGCACCTGCATTTCTTGAATGACTTGTAATAGTTATACCCGAATGAGGAGTTAGTCCTTCTGATACTTGACTGTGTAGGGTCATTCATGTGTATTTAATGGAGGGAATCTGTTTGTTTGTTTTACATTTCTTTCCTTTGCTTTTTTTGTTTCCCCTGGTAGTGTAAGCTATACAGGATACCCATAACAATGATAAAAGTTCCTTGGGGACCATCTAAATGTCAAAGGAAGTGTGTGAAACAATGCAATGACTTGGTAATAGCTTTAGCAGGAGCCCAGCCATATAACTGACATCCTAACGGCTCTGTTGGAACCATTAGGCATGTGTAAGACAGTGCAGTTGACTTTGTAACAGCTCCTTTGGAGAAGTTACATGATCAGAGAACTGTGTAAGTCACTGGGATTACTTTATGTGTGGGTGAGACACTTCTGTGGGGACTGTGATCCATTCATTCACTTCCCATTGAAAACAATTTTGATGATACTGAAATACAAACCATTGTAGGTAAAACAAGCTCCTATTCATTATCAGTAGTTCATTTTAAGTGGAGTTTTTTAGTATGAACATGGTATCAGTTGATGGTTTTAAATTTTTAGAGTAAAAACAAGGTAAAAGTATCACATCCTTCTCCCACTTTATGCTTCAGACACCATTGTCAGAGGTAGCCAGCGTTAACACGATGCTATGTATCATCCTCAGATGTTCTTTGTATATACAGATGGGATAACATGATAGAGAAAGCCCAATACTTTTAAAATTCATACTATATCTTGGATACTGTGCCATATTTTTAGTACAGATCTGTCTTATTCTTTTCAGTGACTGAGTAGTAGTCTGTTTCTGTATGTTTCATTTTTTAATTTATGAACAACTACTTTTCCAGTGCTTCGAAATTAAAAATAGTGCTGCACTTAACATCCTTGTACACATCTTTCTGCATACCAGTTGGGTAATTTCGTAGAAGTAGAATTGAGCCCTGGCTGGTGTGGCTCAGTGGATTGAGTGCCAGTCTGTGAACGAAAAGGTCATTGGTTCAATTCCCAGTCAGGGCACTTGCCTGGGTTGTGAGCCAGATCCTCACTAGGGGGTGCGCAAAATGCAACCACATGTTGATGTTTCTCTCCCGCTCTTTCTCCATCTCTTCTCCTCTGTAAAAATAAATAAATAAAATCTTTTTTAAAAAGAAGTAGAATCGATGGGCCAAGAACATGTACATTTAACATTTTTTTACAAATGTAACCAAATTTCCCCGTTAAACAACCAATTTCTCTTTCTACTAATGCACCATTTCCCATATCCTTATCAACACTGGTAATGATGACAAAAGTTTCTAATCCCTAATCTGCTAGATGAAATATTGTATCTGTTTGTGCTGTTTTGTATTTTATTCATGAGTGAGCTTGGGTTTCTTTTTATATGTTAATGGATATTGTCCATGTCTTTTTCTCCGAATTGTCTGTTGATACCATTTATCTATTTGAATTTTCATATTTCCTACTAATTTTTAAGAACATGTACATTTCATGTTTTAAGGTTAAAAACCTTGATCACATATTGTGCATTCTTTCTACTTTGTCATTTGAAATAGGCTTAAAAGATGTGTCTGTATGCATATATACAGAGCTTTATATTTTTAAGTGGTCAGGTTTAACCATCCATACTTTTGGCTTATTGAAGCATATGGAGGTGATAGATAGATAGATAGATAGATAGATAGATAGATAGATAGATGTTAGGAAGATAATGCAGAGGTAAATGTAGATATAATTGTTAACAATATTATAATGTCTCCAATTCTAAAAGTAAACCACTTGAACATTTGTTTTAAATGAGATTATAAATGTCTACATACAGATAATCTAAATGTATGGCATGTGTGCCTATGGTATGCATCATGAATACATTTACATAAAAACACGCTTGAAAGTAGAAGAGGTTAAATATAGTATAAATAATGTAAACCTTTGAATAAATTAGAATTATTTAGGTTACTCTTTATCATTGATCTTTATAGATTGTTTAATTACTTATTTAGACATTAAATAGTCTAGAGTTAATGTTTACAGAGCTTGCTTATCAATATATTTTTAAAGGTGTTTAGAAAATTCAACAAAAAATGGCTGAGACTGCATTTACTAGAAATGAAATGCCAGTACTGTCATCTGAGTTTGAAAATAATGCTTCAGTTGTCATAGTTAAAACATATGCTTTGGTTGTTCTTTTCCAGGTTTGTGAATAGGTCATCTTAGGCCACTCATGTTTCCTGGCATTGTCTATCTTTTAACTGTTAGTAGGTATTCCTGAGATTGCCGTTAATTCTTCTGCATGTATATGTGTGTGACAGAAAATACATAATAACCCACAACTTATATTCATGCAGTTGGACTTTTGTTCATGCATCCTAGTTAATTACTTTTTTGGAATAATAACTTTCAGAGAAAAAAGGAAATCAAACTGACTATTTGAGAAGAAGTTTACTTCCTTCAGTGAGTTTTCTTGTTATAAAAGTAATACTTTTGTTAAAGATGTTACTAAAGCAAATTTTGAAATTACTGAAAAGTAGGGAAAAGAAAACCTGAAGATACTCTACCCAATAAAATATCATTCATATTTTCTTGCGAATTAGCATCCTTCTTCCCCCCCATTCACAATGTTACTTTTTAAGGATCCATTACTACCTGAAATTTCACTTGAAGAAAAACATAAGCCTGTTGCATGTTACCAAATCTTAATTAATTAGAATTTAAATGTATTAATTAAGTAGGTATAAGTAACTTAATTAACTATTTTTGGATGTTAACATTTCCAGTATTTCATTAGTGTAAGAATACTACAACAGACAGTTTTGTGGTCAAAGCTTTGGTCCTTTTCTGATGTCTTCTTTAGAATAGATTTCTACAAATAAAATTACTGGATTAAATAGTATTTACATTAAGACACAAGATATATATTAGTAAATCATTTCTGCATTTATTTTCCCCTATTAGTAAAGCACAAGAGTGGCCATTTCACTGTTCCTTCATTGGTACTAGATAATTGACTTTAAAATATTTTTGTTAACTTTTTCAATTAAGTGTAAAAAAATTTTAAATTACATATTGTTTATTGAATCTTTTAAAATATACTTTATTGATCATGCTATTACAGTTGTCCCATTTTTCCCCCTTCACTCCCCTACAGCCTGCACATCCTCTCCCACCCACATTTCCCCCTTTAGTTCATGTCCATGTGTCATAAGTTCTTTAGCTTCTACATTTCCCATACTAATCTTACCCTCCCCCTGTCTATTTCCTACTTACCCTCCATGCTACTTATTCTCTGTACCTTTTTCCCCCTCTCTCCTCCTCCCACTCCCCTGTTGCTAACCCTCCATGTGATCTTCATTTCTATGGTTTTGCTCCTGATCTAGCTGTCCTCTTAGTTTGTTTTTGTTATAGGTGTGGTTGTTAATAACTGAGTTTGCTGTCTTTTTACTGTTCTTATTTTTCATCTTCTTCTTCTTAGATAAGTCCCTTTAACATTTCATATAATAAGGGCTTGGTAATGATGAACTCCTTGAACTTGACCTTATCTGAGAAGCACTTTATCTGCCCTTCCATTCTAAATAAAAGTTTTCCTGGATAGAGTAATCTTGGATGTAGGTCCTTGCCTTTTATGACTTGGAATACTTCTTTCCAGCCCTTTCTTGCCTGCAAGGTCTCTTTTGAGAAATCAGCTGACAGTCTGATGGGAACTCTTTTGTAGGTAACTGTCTCCTTTTCTCTTGCTGCTTCTAGAATTCTCTCCTTCATTTACATGTTGGCTAATGTAATGATGATGTGCCTTGGTGTGTTCCTTCTTGGGTCCACCTTCTTTGGGACTCTGAGCTTCCTGGACTTCCTGGAAGTCTCTTTCCTTTGACAGATTGGGGAAGTTCTCCTTTATTATTTGTTCTGGTAAGTTTTCCACTTGTTGCTCTTCTTCTTCCCCTTCTGGTACCCCTATAATTTGGATGTTGGAATGTTTAAAGATGTCCTGGAGGTTCCTAAGCATCTCCTCATTTTTTAAAATTCTTGTTTCTTCATTCTTTTCTGTTTGGTTGTTTCTTTCTTCCTTCTGGTCCACACCATTGATGTGAGTCCCAGTTTCCTTCCCATCATTATTGGTGGAAACATTTTCCTTTATTTCACTTAGCATAGCCTTCATTTTTTCATCTAATTTGCAACCACATTCAACCAATTCTCTGAGCATCCTGATTATCAGTGCTTTCAACTGTTCATCTGATAGGTTGGCTACCTCTCCATTGCTTATTTGTATTTATTCTGGATCTTTGATCTGTTCTTTTGTTTGGGCCATTTTTTTTTTGTCTTGGCGCACCTGTTACATAGGGAGGGGTGGAGCTTAAGATGTTCACCAGGACGGGGCCACCCAAATTTCTGGGTTGTGATGCTATATGTGGGGCAGGGGTCAGAGAGGGAAGTATGGCACTTCCTCTGCTCCCTGCCAGATTTCAGTCACTTCCACCACTTCCCACAAGCAAACTGGGCACTTTTTGCTGATTCCTGGGTGGGTGGGCTTGGGTACATTCTAGGACTCTCTGGGTCTCTCCAACAAACTCTTCTGTGAGGCTGGGAGTCTCTCCCGGCACCTCAACCCCCACAGATGTTTTTAATTGGTGTTTTGAGGCTTTATTTCCCAGCGCTGGGACCCTGGGTTGCGTGGTCTGTCTCACTCCCCAGTTTTGCCTGATCTATCTGTGTGTGAATGTGGGACTGCCCGGTTCCGCCAGCTGCCTTGCATGCCACACCCCTCTTC